TTGGACAGTGTAAGATATGACAAAATAATAATAATTTATAAATTATCAAGGGCTCATGAGGGTGGGGGTAGGGAGGGAGAAAAATGAGAAGCTAATATTAAGGGCTCAAGAAGAAAGCAAATGTTTTGAGAATTATGATGGCAACAGATGTACAAATGTGCTTGACACAATGGATGAATGTATGGATTGTGATAAGAATTGTACGAGCCCCCCAAAAAATGATTAAAAAAAAAAAAAAAGAAAACGACTCCCTGACACAGCAAACAGTTAACTATCACTCTGAACACTAAGAAGTCAGTTATTATTCTGTGAGATAAGAAATAAGAGTGAGCGACATTGGGCCAATTAGTGGAGTTAACCTCAGTAACATGTCAATACTCACATCTAAATACTAAATGGAAGACTGTGATTCCAGGGAAGACTTTTGGGACCTTCTTGATACCACAACTTCCCAAAGTACTAAAAGGATACTTCTCTAACATGATTAAGACAAAGTGATATTTACACATGCAAATTTTATAGGAGGTATAAAGAAACAGCATAAACCCAATGCAAAATAATAGAGATTTTAAGAGTGAATATGAGCCCTTCTGCTGTGCAATGGCATTTACTACGTGCTTTGGACTGATAACCATGTCAGGAGTTTGAAATCACCAGTTGTTCCACAGGAAAAAGATGAGGCTTTATACTTCAACAAAGATGTACAGTTTCAGAAACCCACAGGAGCTATACTCTTGTCCTACAGGATTCTAGGAGTCAGCATTTATTCAATGGCAGTCAGTTTGCTTTTGGTTTTGAACTATCATACAGCAGGCTGGCCGCCTAGTGGTTTAAACACTCAAAGCGAATTGAAAGCTTGGTGGCTTGAACTTACTAAGCATGCCTTGGAAAAGATTTGGCAGTTTGCTTTTGTAAGATTTACAGCCCTAGAAACCCTATAGGACGGATCTAGCAACTGACTCAAAGGCAGTACGTCTGGTTTTTCTTTCTTTTTAAAAAATCATTTTATTGGTGGCTTGTACAATTCTTATTACAATCCATATATACATCCATTGTGTCAAGCACATTTGTACATTTGTTGCTATCATAATTCTTAAAATGTTTTCTTTCTACTTGAGCCCTTGGCATCAGCTCATTTTTCCGCCTCCCTCCTCACTCCCCCCAACCCTTGATAATTTATAAATTACTATTTTGTCATATCTTACACTATCTGACGTCTCCCTTCCACCACTTTTCTGTTGTCCATCCCCCAGGGAGGAGGTTATATGTAGATCCTTGTAATTGGTTCCCCCTTTTTACTCCACCCTCCCAGTATCACCTATCACACTGGTCCGAAGGGATCATCTGTCCTGGATTCCCTGAGTTTCCAGTTTCTATCTGTCAGTGTACAGCCTCTGGTCTACCCAGATTTGTAAGGTAGAATTAGGATCATGATGGTGGGGGGAGGAAGCATTTAAAAACTAGAGGAAAGTTGTATGTTTCATCGATAACCTGCACCATGACTGGCTCATCTCCTCTCCACGACCCTTCTGTAAGGGATGTACAGTTGCCTACAGATGGGCTTTGGGTCTCCACTCTGAACTCACCCTCATTTACAATGATATGATTTTTTGTTCTGTGATGCCTGATAGCTGATCCCTTCTACACATGGTGGTCACACAGGCTGGTGTGCTTCTTCCATGTGGGCTTTGTTTCTTCTGAGCTAGATGGCCGCTTGTTTACCTGCAAGCCTTTAAGACCCTAGACGCTATATCTTTTGATAGCTGGGCACCATCAGCTTTCTTCACATTTGCTTATGCACACATTTGTCTTCAGCGATCGTGTCAGGAAGGTGTGCATCATGGAATGCCCCAATTTAATAGAACAAAGTGTTCTTGCATTGAGTAAGTACTTGAGTGGAGGTCCAATGTCCATCTGCTGCCTTAATACTAAACCTATAAATATATGCATGTAGATCTGTTTCCCTCCCATCCTTCTTTTTAGTTACTCTACTATGTGACTGTTTTTCTCATGTGGCAGACTTTGCAACTGTGAACAGTAGCACAAATACAGTAATTAAAGATCTAAACTGTAAGTTCATAAAGCAAATATGGTAGAGAAAATAATGCATGGAATAAGAACAACCCTGGAAAAAAAATAAATTAAAAAGCACTAGCATTTGTGTTTCTTTTCTTTTTCTATAAAGAAAATAAGCAATTCATTTACCAGCATGCATAATGAATGGGTGCCCAGTGGTCACTATCTAGTTGATTGACTGAAAATTTTTCATCAAGAAGACGGCTTAGTAATTCTGAATCTCCTTCACAGGCACTTCGATGTAGAGGAAAATCATCTACCCACTGTCGTTCCCTAATCATTAAAAACAAATTTAAAAATTGTTTTAAAAAGTTACACTTGAATTCGAGCCGTTTCAATATAAACAGAAAATATCTCTAAAAGCTACATATCATTGAGCAATTATAAACTATCAAATAGTTACTGTATAATAATTGAATATATAATTTTAAAATGTATTTTAATATCTAAGTTTTAAAAAGCAACATGGAGTAAAACCAAAACAGTACTTGTCTTCCGTGACACTGCTCATGCTTCTCTGCCATTTTTCCTGTTTGGGAATTTGAATTTTTGAGTAGTCTGGAGCTCCTAGACCGAAGTATGGATTTATTACCACTTTATCTACCTAGCAAAGGAAAGGGAAAACAATAGAACACTTTAGAATGTTACCTACTTGACTTTAAACCTCAAGTGTGAGTGCTGTCTTAATGTTTACAATAATAGATGTGTTTATCTCAGGAAAAAAAACTAAACTAAATTTGATATGAAGCGTTTTTTGAAACCTGAGTACAAATTCATTCAACTCTTACCCGGTTTGTATACTGAAGATCTGATCCAAACAAAGGGTTGTAAATACAGGTATCTGCTTTCTCTAGGGCTAACATTTTACTCTTTATTTCTAGTGCACTGTAGCCCATATGTAGTGAGTTTTCAGTCTGACTTGATTCAGTAGCATATGCAGGGTTTATGACATTAGTTTTTATCCGCTCAAGAGGAGAAGGTCGAAATAAAGCTGGAATAAAGTGAGATTGTGCATGACGCTCATCTAACCACCTGCAAGACAGATAGCAATTATAGATGGGTTTGTTTAAAAGTGAAGATGAACACAGTAGATGAAAACATTTAATATTACATTCAGATTTTTATTTTAATTAGTATTATTTAATTTATTAATAATGGACACAGCAAATGATTCCTAATGTATGTATGCCATTATAATAAAACTTCCCAAAATACGAAGTACTTAAATTATACATACAATTTAAAATTTGGCATTTTAAACCTTCTTAACTGTAGAATTCAGTGGCATTGATCACTGTGTTATACAACCTACACCATTATGTATTTTGAAATTTTGTTTACCCCGTCTCTTGGAGATAGACAATTGGGTTGTTTCTACTTCTTGGCTACTACGAATAATGGTTCAATTAACATTGCTTGAAAACTCTTTAATAAACTTGAACCATTGACATAGGTGAAATAGTCTTAACAGCTGCAGAAATAGAAGTATTCTAGGCCAAAAGACCTGTTCACTAATAAGAGTACTTTAAAAAGCCAGTGCTACCTTTGTCATTCTTGTTATTCATGTCTTACAAATTTCCTATTTTTATATACTTCAAAAAGTTGCCATTTTTGTAACATGTTTTCTTAATGTCACTACTTTCCACTAAACGTCTGTGTCTATCACTAATTTCTATTATGAACATGTTTGTAATTTATGAATAAAAATATTGTTAATGGCATTTCTTACTTATCCAAGGCTATTAACATCCTTGCTGTAAGTGTAGCAAAGTGAGTGCTGGATTCGCTACAAACTCGCATAATATCTTGTAAGCAGTAAAAAATTGGGCATCCTGGAGTATATGTATATTTAGTATTATCTGAAAAAGAAAGATTATGCTATCACATAAAAAGTTTCCAAATATATGTTTTTCATTTAAAAGTATAGAGTATGTTTTAAAAGAAGTAAAGCGTGTTGAGTATAACAAATTCTTCAACAATGTTGTCTTATTAATAAGATTTCCAACACCATTTGAAGTAGTGAACTTTTCAACCTAAGTATAACAAAAATCCTCATCGAGTTGATTTCAACTCAGTGAAACTGTAAAGGATTTCCAAGACTGTAAAACTTTATGCCAGCAGCTTCATCTTTCTCCTGTGAACAGATGGTAGGCTTGAACTGTCTACCGCATCACCTGAGACTGACGGAAAAAATTATACCTGGAGTCATAGAGTGGCTAATAAAATAATTGTAGATGTTACGTGCCAACAGGCTGATAGGATGCTCACGTTGTCATCCTATTACATGAGGTCAGTATTCTGCAGTTTCTCAAGTACCATATATACTCGTGTATAAGCCAAGTTTTTCAGCACATTTTTAATGCAGTTTTTTTGGTAAAATTAGGTGCCTTGGTTGATATTCGGGTCTGCTTATACTCGAGTATATATCCTATTTAGTACCTTATTACATTTTTCCACTCCAATGAACTAAGTAAGAGCAGGTATCAATATGGTCCCTATTTTATAAAAGGCTGAAGTTTAAAGAAGTGATTTGTCCAAGATTACAAAATTACCGAACAGCAAGGTCTACAGTAAAATGTAATATTTTCCTCCCTATATTTCAGCCTGTTAAAGGCTCCTATTAGATCTAAGTTTTTAAAATTTTACCAGTATTCTGGGTCAGGGGATTTTCAATTTATCACTGACACTTTCCTGTCCCAAATACAAGGTCCTGATTTGTTAATTTTCCTGAAAATTTAAATACCTATTTCTATCTATGGTTTTTTTTAAACAACAAATCAAAAAAATTCTTTAATCTTTATTATAACTTGAACAATTAATTTTAATCACAGCTTTCCTCCTCATCTATTTTACTTAAAAGTCATACATATATACATACATTTACTGTTCAGTCCAGAATCATATATATAACTTCAAATTCAAAACAGCTTTAAGTAAATCAGCCCATTTTCTATTAATCTGAAAATATGTATTTTATAACTGTTTCATAACAGTAATGGTGAACACAATTCCTAAGTTCCTCAAGAGACTTTAATTTACCATCTAATGTATATAAAAATTCATAAGATTAATTTTTACTTTACCTTTGACAACTGATGGAACAATAAATAATGCTGCTTCTCTGCCCGTCTTCTCTCCATCCAGAGGAAATGTCCTCATTAGTACCACTCGTTTTCCTAATCATTTTTTAAAAGTCAGTAAAGGTAAAAATCGTGGGCTTTAAAATCTCATAAATAACTTTGAGAATTAAAAAATTAAAGGCCACAATAAGAGGAAAAGCAAAAATAATAAGAGTCAATTTAATTACATGAATCAATAAGAACTAATAATGCTGATACTGTACATTCAACCAGTAGGTTTAAGGAACTGGTCTTGACTCATTAGAAAAGAAGCCATGTAGAAAGGAAAACTGCTCACTATGAATTGAGAGTGTGGCTGAAAGCAAAGTGTTAAAGAAGAGCTGAGAGTCTCTGAGTGGTGCGAACAGTTTGTGCTCAACTAACCTCAAGATTGGTTGTGAAAACCACCCAGTGACACCGTGCAACGAAGGCCTGGTGATGTGTTTTGTAGAGAAAACCCGATGGAGCAGCTCTAGTCACCGTGAGTCAGAATTTAGTTGGCAGCAACAAGCTTGTTTGTTTTTTATTATGTTTCTCATGTAGACAGGATGTTGATGGTAAGAATCTTAGTACAGTCTAGACTAGCTAAGAATGGTATACATAAATGTCAAAGTCTTATGATTTAGTGGCTCTTCCTTTAACAGTTTCTACCCTGAACTTTCAATTGTATTAAAATCTGACTGTACGACACAATACATACTAGTGTTCTGAACGGTAAAGTCTGTTTGCCTTTTTTTCCTGATCTGGAAGCAAGGAGACTATAAATATTAACCCATAACTCTTATGTTCTAAAATTTCTAATCCTCCAAATACCTTTGCCATGACTTTTTATCAGTCCTTCCAATCTTCTTATCCAAGGAAACAGAACCTTATTACTATTATTAGAGATGCCTTGCAGGAAGGTGGTATTGGTCATTGGTTGCTATGGAAAAGTAGATAATATAAGAGTTCAACCAATTCCATTTATTCACAGGATACTCTGTCATTATTTATGATTATCATGGCCCATGATTATTATTTCGCAAAAGGGTAGTACAAACTACATGTGGCTAGATAAAGAATGGCTTTTGTTTGGCTTGAGGTCTTGTTCCCATTTCATCTTTCCTGCTATGCTACTTATCAAACCTGGTTCTGATCCATTGTTTAACTGTTTAACTTTAAAAGTTACTTACATGTAAATACCTATGAAACCTCTTGTGGCAGTAAAAACACAACGTTGACTAAAGGCTGGGAGGTAATTCTAGTCCTAATACTGCCATTAATGACAACTTCTATCTGCATTTCTTTTTATTTTATTTATTTTTGTTATATCTGCATTTCATTTGCATTTTACAGATATGAAAATTATCACACACCAAAATGATCAATGTAAGCATCTCATGAATAGAAATAAATGGTATTGCTTTATAAACTAATGTGGTCATGAGTAGTAGCTTTGAGTCCTGTCCGACGGGTAATGATCCCATGTGTGCTCCAGAGTTCTCGAGGCGGTGACTTTTGAAAGCAGATGGCGATGCTCATCTTCTGAGGTGTCTCTGGGTGGGTGTGGATCAACCTTGCAGCTAATTATTATGTGCTTAACTATTCACACCACTGAGCCATCTAAGCTACCTATTAAAACAGACAGAAAAACAAAGAAGATAATCCATCACCCAAGTCAATTCCAACTCAGAGACCACAGTGAGCTGTTCAAATCCACCAGCCTCCCTCCCAGGGAGAAATATCAGGCTATCTTCTCCTATAAAGATTTATAGTCTCTGAAACCCTAGAGGTTCTATTCTGACCCATAGGGTCGCTATGAGTCAGAATTGACTTGATCGCAGTTGGTTGGGTTTTGATTTCTCAAGGTAGACCCTGATAATGACAATAAGTTTGTAATAGTGGAATACATAACGATGGAATTTTCTCACAAGTCCAAGACGGAGGTAGAAAAGATTGACTAAATATTTACAGCCTCCAAAAGTAGTCTTTCACATTCCCAATCACCTGCGAGGGCAGCCTTTTCTCCCCAGCTAACGCCAGGTTCAAGATAATTTCATTACAATTATAAGCCTGTTAGTAATGGAAAGAGAATTCTTTTTCGTGGGGCTCAGAATACGTATCAAAGATCATTAAGTTTATGCAGGAACTTCTTATAATCCTGAATTACAATGCTCAGAGCCAGAACTCACAGAAACTCTTTAAAATCTCTACTGGGAGGTCACCTAGTTCTTCCAAGTAAAATATGGTACACATTATCTCCAAATCTTCACAACATTAATAAATCAAATCACAGGGATCAGTTATATCTCTGCATCAAACCCAGGCTCTTTATTGACAAGAACCAGACAACAGATCTATATTTAGAGGAACAGGAAAAAAAGTACACTGAATAAACCTAAAAAAACACACAAAAATCCCAAAACCAAATAGGCACAGAGGCACAACTTTACCAACCACTGTTTCAATGGCTATTTGATTAAAGTTTGTTTTATCTAATTATTATGCCTCAATTTTGGTGCCTATGCGGTACAAGCAAATGGTTAAGGACTCAACCACTAACCAAAAGGTTGGCGATCCCAATACACTTAGAAGCACCTCAGGAGTAGGCCTGGCAATAAAATTCCAAAAGCTCAGTCTTGGAAACAGCAACCCTATGGAGTTCTATGCTGTACATACATACACCATACATTGAAATGGAGTCAAGGACAACAATAGCATAACAATATTGGAAATCGTCAATATATTCTGAAATGTTTCAATGTTATCTGCTTGTTTTGAGGTGGATACCTGAGAATACTGATCTTTAATTTTGAATCAATTTGTTAGGCTATTCATTTTAAGTGGGCCCTCAATTTTTCAGGATTAATACTTGTACATTTCAATATGGCTCTTTGAAAAAGGGTGTTTTTGCAACCCCTCACCCCAAGGGGGATGAACAACAGAACATGGGTGAAGGGAGGCAGAGGTTGGTGTAAGACATGAAAATAATAATTTATAATTTATCAAGGGGTCACAAGGGGAGGGCGGGGGAAGAGTTGCTCATACCCAGGGTTCAAATAGAAAGTAAAAGTTTAGAAAATGATGATGGCAACACATGTACAAACATGTTTGAAACAATTGATATATGGATTATTATAAGAGCTGTAAGAGCCCCCAAAAAATGATCTTAAAGAAAAGAAAGAAAAAGCTCTTCTTCCTGTCACCAAATGAGAAGAAAACTTCTGCTACCTAGTAACATCCAGGGCTTTCCCTTGATCCATGAATCTGAAAGTCCTGGAGTCGAGAAATAAAAACAGCCGTTCAAAGATACTTAGCTAGGGAACGATACCTCCAGTTAGAAACCATTTATACTCTTCTGAGCAGCATGGGAAAAAAGAGAAAGAACTCCTACCTCGGATACCCTGGTTTGCAGGAGAAATTGGTTTGGTGGTTTCAACTACATAATCCAATATGCTTTGTGTTATTTCACTGCTGCCTTGAAGTTTAGTTTCCAGCAAAATTTTCTTTCTTTTTTTTTTCTGTCCTTCAATGGGAACTTCATGCAACAGAATCTTAGATGAGAAAATATTAAGACAAAGTTTAAACTAAATGTTACTTCTTCTAGAAGACTACAATGAGCTTAACAGTCTTTCTGAATGCTAGCTGCATATTAAAATAACTTAGAAGCTTTAAAAACAATTCAATGTCCAGGCCCATGTCACTTCTATTTAAGGAGGAATTTCAGAGGGAAGAGGACTCTGCTCTTGGAAATTTAAAAATTTCCCTCTAGTGATTCTAAGTGCAGCTGGGCTTGAGAACCACTGTGTCAATGTACTGCAGCAGCAGCAGCCTAATGAGAACCCTGGTAGTAATTTGTAATAGGTTTCTGGTAACTAACCTCAAAGAGCAGCTGGAGCAAAATGCTAAGGAAATTTAGTTGAAGTCAGGTTAGATGAGAAGTATTTCATGATTTTTGGAGTCTGTTTCATAGAAAAGATAATTCTATTTATCGTCCTTAATTATATGTCTATTAGTACATAGAATATAACTCAAGAATACAGAGAAATAACTTAATTACCCAAAATGTAAAGTTAAAAAAACTGCTTTAAATTGAGTGTTATAATTATTCAAGAAAATAACTAGTACACAGATATTTTGAATGAACTTTTTTTGACAGTGTTTAACTTTTAAGAGCTATTTCTACATTGTGCTGAAGTTAAATCTATACATTTTAAATAAAAATCAAGTAACTCTGAGCATTTAAAAATCTACATGTCAAAAATTAATAAAATGGTCAAAAGACATACAGCAAAAAAAGGCAATGATATACAGATAGCTAGAATAAAATGGCCAATAAGAATTTACAGGATGTGATGACTTTATACATAAAAGACAATGTGACATTCAATAGTAGTAAATCAAATGTTATTTCTTCTCACTTCATATGACTTAGCTCTGTATTCACGAGAATTGAGACTGGCAGCATTCTTTGGACGAATAACAGCAACATATGTCTCTTCAATGTTTTCTGGATTTCCCATTGCTTTATTCAAAAACAAAACAAAACAAAAACAATCTCTTGAAATTAAATTGACAGGCATAATTGATGACAGCCAAAAAAAAAAAAAGTCAATACAGCCCAACTTGACGATTTTTATTTCCACATAATCACTTTGAGAGCCAGTTAAGTTGAAATGTTGGATTTTTTTGTTATTTCTCAAATCAAAACCTTTGTAGTCATCAATTCTGATTCACAGTGACTATATTGGACAGAGTGGAAGGGCCTGTGTTTTATAAACTGGAAACTTGATGGGAGCGGAGGACCGGGTCTTTTCTTCCTCTTAGGGGCTAGAGTTCATAGCTGATTCCTGGAATATTGCATTGTGCCACAATATTATTCAGAATCAAACTTACTTTCCATAAACTATGTAAGTGAATGTTACATTGATAAAATTGTTAACAGTTTGGAAGCTAGAAATAAGTAGCTACTTCATTTGCACTGACATTCACTCCAGGATTTTTGGAAAGAAGAATATCAATATTAGAAATTTGGATGAGCTATGCAGTTTAAAAATCACCTCACACTTGTCTAAATATACCATTTTTTGGAATAGAGCTCAGATTCACAAAACAAGAAAAATATGCTTCTATACAGCTAATATAGCGGGTTCTAAGTTGGGCTGCTAATCACCAGCTCAAGAGAAAAAGGCTTTCTAGGGTGGTTAAAAGGCTGTTATGAGTTGGAATCGACTCGATGGCAGTATGTTTGTTTTTTGTTTTGTCCTAAGTAGCCAACAAAAATACCAAAACAAATAGAGTTCCATATGCTATCTTCAAGATAGTCTTCCCCAGAACTGAGAAGTAAGAGACGAAAAAGCTGGAAAGCAGACATAAGACTTTTTAACTCAAACTTGGTCTAGTTGCCTTTTAGGCAACAGCAAAACAATCCTACACTTAAGTATCAATGTATGAAAATCTTTTTATGATGATGCAACAAAAAAACCCTAAATTATGCTTATCAGACTTGACAACGCAAACATATATAAGAAAGATTCCCATCCAAGACAGTTTAATGTACTGACATTTAAAAGGTTGTATACTCTGACTGCCTAGAAATGCTACTTAAAGTATTGAGTTACTGGACTAGTCTTTAGGAACATACCAAGCTACTTAACTGGTGTTGAGGAAAGTACCAAGCAATTACTTGCTTTTTCATTAATTTATAGAGTTCGTTTCTTTTGTCATGTTTTTTCATGTTTATAGGTTATATAATCTCTTGGAGGCCAGAGTAAATAATTTTCTTCGGAAATGCCTACACAGAAGTATTTGGTCAGTTGAAAAAGCTTTCTGATGACTTTTTGGTGTTGTAGGTCCTATTACTGAATCTCTATTATGGAAATTTCTAACAATTTTTATTGATATATAATTCATGTACGTACCATAAAACTAAAGTTTAAATATATTAAAGAATTGTGCAATCATCACCACAATCAATTTTAGTTAGATTTTGTCCTTTGTACCCATTACTATTAGAATATAACTCAGGTTCATCAAAAAATATGATTTAATGGTCTTTTCCATTTCTAATTCCCTAGCTAACCCAAATTTTTTTCCACCAAAGGTATTCAGCACACACACACACACACATATACCCCTCCCACTAATGCTAAGTCTTTATTGGGCAATTTCTACAAGTAATTGAATTTTAATCTCACTCTTGTAAAATAATTTACAGGCTACCAATTCTATTTCTTAGTAAATGTTATTACTTTTTTCATGGCTAGACTAAAATGAAGGTGTCCTAATGACACAACGTTTAGTGTTAAATGAAAAGTCAGCAGTTAGTACCTCCCGGCAGCTCTGCAGGAGAAAGATGTGGCAGTTGGCTTCTGTAAAGATTACATCCTTTGAATCCCTGTTGGATTCTGTCCTACAGGGAACAAACACTATGAGGCTGAATTGGTTTGATGGCAATGTTTTTTGGGCTCTAGACTAAAATGCCTCTTTTTGGATTAAAAAATCCTTCTCTCTTAAAAAAAAATTAATTCCCCAGCAAACTTCTAAAAAAAACCCACCAAATAGGGAACCTTTTTTCAAATCATGTTATTAATGATCTCCAGTAAAAAAAAAAACACCCCATTAAGCATTAAAATGATCTGTTCATATTTAATGAGTTCCCTACTGCTTGCATGCTTATGGGGTAGGGGAAAGAGCATTTTCAAGAAGAGATTCTGAATGGTTTAAGAATGCAATTTATTATGGTGTTTGAACTAGAAATGGTAACATCACTTTAGAACCTTTTTATTGTTTCCCTAAACAATAAAACATCATGACTATGATTAGAAAATGTCCTTAAAAATATTTTTCTAAAAAATAAAAATAATCTTTTTTTTAAAAGAAGCCCAGTATCCTAACATTTTAAATAAACTTTAGTCCAATATATAGGGGGAAAACATTAAATTTTTATTCCAAAGTTTTGTTTTTTCCACTGTGCAACCCGCTTCAGTGCCTTAAGCCCACTGGGTAAAGCCAAGCAATGGTTCGGGGTGACAGTTTGCTTTGGCATGGGACACTGTGAGAGGCCCATGGGATCGGACCTGCCACAAATCCAAACCCATGCAATATTCCGAAGTTTTAAGTAGCATTTTTTTCTTATTGATTCAAAGAAACTGCAGACATTTCCCTAGAGACTAGGAGATACTTCATTTTGTGAAAATAAAGCTTTGTGAACAATTTTACTCTAACGCTACAGTTCTTGGGAGTTTTTCATTAAGCCTAATTTTCAGTCCAATTTTGGCCCACTAACTGCAAGGTCAGTGATTCAAACCCACCAGAAGATAAGGCTTGTCTGCTCACGGAAAGGTTGACAGCCTTGGAAACCATAAGTCCGGCAGCTGGGAGTAGAAATTGACCTGATGGCAGTGGGTTTGTTTTGGCTTTTGCTAGAAGCAAGCAGCATTATTGCCATCCCCATTCTACAGATGAGAAGACCCAGTTGCCTAAGGTCCCTTCCCCATTTGCTTCACTATTTTAAAGCTACATGACATTAGAGACGAAATGGCAAATAAATCAGTGAAAATTCCCCTATCGGGGCTTGGTAACCATAAACATCTCTCTTGCTACTCAAATTGGTTTATGGTAATAATAGGAGATGAAGTGCTAATAAAGCCAACTAGAAAACAGTCATCGGTGCTACTTCTAATTCAGCTTCCTTTTTCCTTGTTCCTGGAACCAATCCTACTAATCACCACCTATACTATCAACAAGCTCACCAGTGATTTTTAAATCCCTGGTAGAATAGTGGGCAGCTATCAGAAACCACCAGCTCTTCCATAAAAGATGAGGCTTTCTATGTAAAGTGTTACAGTCTCAGAAGTTCAGAGGGGCACCTCTAACCTGTCCTATAGGGTGGCTATGAGTTGGCATGCACTCGATGGCAGTGAGGGTTTTTTTTCTTCTTCTGTTAAATGGTATTTTATTCTAAAATTTAAATACTTTTCTTTTAGAAAGATGTCGCATTTGCCAATTCACCCTTTTAAAATTTAAATATTTAATACATCTTCAAACAGCATTAGAAGACAATTATACTAAATGTGGCCGAAGAATTAAGTAATGACATTGAGAATTTAATGAATTTTTACAGTGAATACACGCACATTTAAGGAAGGAAGCTAATATCTCATTTGATTTGGATTCCAAATTTATCTAAATATGCTATATATCAATTGCTACAGTAGTTCTATAACCCAATTCTAAGAGAGGGGGTAGGGAACCAACGAACTGCAACATCAACTGGGGTGAAGGGGAAGAGATCATGGAATGATTTGGTTTTGTTATTTATGAAAACATTGTTGAATGTTTGTCATTTGTTCCAAATAAGACAAGGACACCAAAGTAGTTCAGAGACTGCAGATCAAAAAAACCATCTTGTTCAGGGGCAGGGGGAGAACCAAAGGGGCTGGGACTGGAGCTAGGTCAGCTAGATAAAAGCAGGGGTTTGAACCCTGTTCTTCCAGGTTCAGCCACGGCCAAAGAAGCCACCCCAGCACAGACGTCAATTTGTAAAATGTGGAGTGTACTCGAACAGGAAAGAGTATGGTTGGCACCCTGCTAAAACTTAGTCTTCCACTTAGAAAACAAGGGCAACATGCACGTTGCATAGCAACCAAATCTCTTGCGAAGCAGAGTTAGAAACAAAGATGTCCAGTTGAAAAGCGCCTGCCAAGTCCACCCCCCAGCCCCACCCAGTCCAGGCAATAATCCAGTCTTTTTCATCGGGCTCCTGAAAGGGCTCCCATTCCTGGACTTCACCTGAATTTTTCCTGTTCTAGCCCACCCACGTCTCACAAAGTTGGGTTCGTTCCCGTGTCTCGTTCTTGGCTATGGCCGGATAACGCTAAACGTTTGGTAAAGACACAAATACCGTGGAGTAAAGGCAAAACCAAACCAAACCAAACCACTTTGAAATATCGGGAGAAAGGGAAGAGGTGAGCTAGAACCACGGGCTGTCAATCACTTTGCCAACAAAAGCAAAAACAAAAGTTTGCGCCTCTGCCACCGCTCATCAATGTCTACTACCGAAAAAGCACCTGCAAGCCTCTTCTTAGCAGCTGCCTTCTCAAAAAAGTGACGTGGGCTTCTCCGAAACTATTTGTAAGACAGAAACTCCTTGCCTGGAGAAAAGTAGATGAGAAGTCCCCGTCTCCCGCTTCTCTGATCGCTCCCGCTCGAGCCGGGATCTTGCTGCTCTTCGGGTTCCCGGAGGAAGTGCAGCGGTTACCACCCGGGCGGGTTGGCAAGCGGCTCCCGGGCCGCTACATTCAGCTCCCGGGTGGGACAGTGGCCTGGGAGGACGGGGATCGTCACCGTTTTCTCATTCCTCCAAGTCTACTCCCCGGCACAGCTGCCGTGGCGACGCCGGCGACGGGGCCCAACTTCCTGTGAGAGGAAACCCGACGGCCGCCCACAGAAACCGCTTGGCGCTTTCCGTCGCGCTCCCCAACTCGCGCTCCGGGAGTTCGGGTCTCTGGTCTGGTAGAACCGTCTGCTGACCAACTCTTTAGTGTCCTTCCCTCTCCGCGCACCTAAGCATCATACACCCCTCACCCACTCCTGCAACGAGGGGTTCCGGGGTCTTCAAAGGCCTCAGCTTCCCATCTCGCTGCTACCGGGGCGAGGAAATCGCTTCCGGGTCCACACGCCCCCACCCCCCACCCCCGCTCCCCCTGCAGCTTCCCGGCTGGCAGAGGAAGAGCTTCCGGGTCGTCGGCCGAGCTGCCGCCGTTCTAGCCGCTTCTCCTCAGTGCTGCGGGCTCGCAGGGACGGGTGGGTCCGAGGCGTGGGTGGTAGTGGCGGCTGGGGCGCCAGCTGCGGAACCCAAGGCCGGGGAGGTGGGCGGGAGCGGCCGGGACAGCGCGCGCGTGCGCCAAATTGGAGGATGAGCCGGACTTGACCGCGAGGCGGAGGCGAGAGCCACCGCCCCCTCTTCCCCTCCCGTGAGTGAGGCGGCGCGACGGCAGGAGAGGGATGGGGGGCGCCCGCCCAGTCTGAGCCTCCCTCCGGGCGCCTTCGGCTCACGCAGCGCGCCCCGCGGGCCTCCCGCGCGCACGC